AGGATATCCTACAGTGAAACACAAACCCGGAATCGCCAAAAAGTACATTCATCGATTGATCAGGAATCTTTCTAGCTCAATCGTCAAGGTCTCGTGTAATTCATGAACCACCGGAATACATCTTTGTCCTCCGGAGACGACACCCAACCGACTGCTCTGTTGGCGTCTTGTGTCCTGCCATGGTTAAAGCAAGGTGATCAATCTTTTTACTTGGGGCCACGTCTTCAAACCGAACGAATACATCTTTGAGTAATATGGCTGGTTTGGGACCCTCCAATGCACAGCCGGTTGGGGGTAAGGGGAAGTAAGGGTTATTTCTTGTCATACTTGAGACATACCCGTAGATATCTGGGCCCACCACTCACTTCTCGATCAAGATCCCAGTGATGGCAACACCGAGCATGGCAATTGACGCGGCCAACAAGAAGAGGGTCAAATAGTCGAGAGACCATTGAGGGAATCTATCTGAACGGCCATTGCTTTGCGGTCTCGAGACACTGAGAAAAGTTGCTGGAGTCATGTTGCGGTAGGATCAACTCTCCAGCCTCTCCTGGGAGCCCAGCTTGCGGGTTAATATCCAATGGATATCTTGCATCCGAGTACCTTCCTGACCAATCCCAGTCAAGGACCCGAAGCTCGACTCCCTTGTCGTGCACACGAATGAACATATTGTTTGGGCGGATATCACCATGTACCAATTGATTATCCCTCATACATTGGAGGAACCTTTCGGCTTCTGCGTGGAGCGCCACCCACTGTTGTTCATTCTTGAGGTAGAGTTTGGCTTCTTGAAATGCTACCCAACCTTCCTTCTCAGAAAGAAATTCCATGACAAACGCAGGCGGTGCGCCGCCTAATTTGGCCACACCGTACAGCTGTGGCGCAAGTCCTTGTTCGGCCGCGATCCGATGCGCTCTTTCTCCGTACGGACCCGGAACGACTTTAACCAGCACGCACTCTGCCGAATCTTCAACGGTGGCTTTGAAAAGGAGGTCGTGTCGAGCATTCTTTGGCTTGTAAGGAGATATGAATTTGAATGAACGAGATTGACCTTCAAACGTTTGGAAACTATTGTAAACCCTTGGGCACCTTACAGTGGTTTCTGGTAATGGCCTACGGATATTTTCAGCGGATAGGCTAGCGTTGAGGCGATAGGCTCACAAATTTTTGAAGAGGGTGCGTAACGAGAGCTTTAGTGCATACAAGTGGCGTGCTAAAACCGCTTCTCTCTCTCGCAGTTTGTCAGGCATCATCAAACACCAAGTTGCGAGTGGCTCCACCACGCTGCGATTTCCACCTCTGAACCCGCCACAAAACAGTATACTAGGACCTATATAAATTGCTTTAGTAACCGTCACAGCCACGAAAATCGTAATCTCTCACCATCGATGCACAAGACAAGAGAAGGACAGCCAGTTTGTTCTTGTTCGTATACAGGTCGAGCAATTGCAGCTGCATGATAAGAACCCGACCCTTGCATATAAACGTCACCCATCGCGCCAGGTTCGTTTTTTATTTCCAGTAAAGCCTTCGCTGCGCCATTTTTGCCTAAGATTGCACCACGTAGAGATGCAGACCCAAATTTTGTTTCGATGAAGTTAGGAAACTCGTCGGCAAGTAATGCCTGCATCATTTTGTAAAAGAAATCTTGACGCTTTTTTTCATCTTGAAAGTGCCTAGGCATGGATAAGCACAACTTCCAAGCAACCTCCGTTTGTGGGCAATGGCTGATGAGTAATGGAGATAAATTTGGCGAATGCGGGATGCAGAAGTGAAATAGGTAATCCAGAACAATCAGGTGGTCGCATACAGTCAATGGCAGCAGGACCTTTTTGTGCAATTACCCATCCAGCTGATTTGGCAAAAACGGAAGGTGCCATTGGTCTATAGATACGTTCCATGAAGCCTTATATGAAATGACGGGAGTGAGAGTTTGTGGCTTGGAATGGTATATAAACTGACCGTTCCACTTTTCCTTGAAATCTTCCAGGAGCGTTATGACGTTTAGTGCGTCTTCTTGCTTAGATATGTTTCCGATCTGCTCTAATTTCCATTTGATGATGGTATCGATGTCTTTCCGAATACCAGTGAGTGCTTCATATTTACCAGCCATCAAGTGATCCAAGAAAATATTGAATATAGCCGGTCTAAATCGGAAATTTCCGCCGTCAATTTCAGCTAGTTGATCGTTGGTATTTTTGAATTCCTTTAAAAAAGCTTTCGCTTCTTTCGATATATCGGATTCGTCACTGTCAGATGATCCCTTGTAACTTGCATCCTCCTTGTGAGAATCCTTCTTTCTTCGCTTCGTGGTGCTTCCAGAGGTAGGTAATTCGCTTCTTTCCTGTCGTTTGCCCGTTTTTCTGGGATTATTTCGAAGGCCCTTTGAGTGTTGCCTTCCTGGTTTTGTCGACATGGTGCAGGTCGAAGACTTGATTGCCACTCAGGGGCCCAGCCAATAAAGCCAACCTATCTAATTGGATAACCTAAAACCATACGCCCCATGCCTTCGTCCTGTAAAATTTTGGATCACAAGTTTAGGTATATTTATGGAATCAAACGTACACGTTGGGCCTGCTATTCTATACTACTACAACGCTAATATCCTCTGAATGACACTCTCTTCTCGCTGATCCCTGGTATAGCCTTCCCTTGCTTCTCTTGCTAATTTGATCAAGAGTCCTAGTTCTTGAGGGAGATGGGTATATCCTTTGGCTGGAGACTCGAGCTCCAAAGGCGTTTCCCCCCTCACCCATCCATATATACTTCTATCTGGCTGGCCAGGGATTTGGATCCTATCGAACCCAAAGCAAGTCCTGGCTTGTTTGATTCTCCATTGCCCTCCCCACTCGTCGGTCTGAGGTAGACGTTTAACAGCATCTACTACTTCTTGCAACCCCACAAAGTCGCCAGGGGATACAGTCAGGATTCTTCCAGCGGCATCGACTGCGATATTAGGTTTCATCAACGCCATCGTGAAGCCATCTCCTGAACCTTTTGCGTCATAGAAAAACGTTGCGAGGATATCTTCTGCCTTGGGGTCGAAGGAAGATGCCGTAACAGAAGTCGATTCGGTAGCACGCGTATGCCATCCTTCTGCGTTGTTTGATCCAGGATTGGTATCAAGGGTACTCATGTCGTCGGTGTCGAGTATAGATTTGAGGAGTGGCGTGAGACTCCAGATAGCTGGATTTATAACAGCCGATGATTTGAGAAGAGAGATGAGGATTATTGGTAGCCCAAGTAGTAAACACGTTATGAGCCGACGTCTACGGAGAGATGTCGTTAATGTTGTGTTGCTGGTAGATTTCTCGGATTTTGGAAAAAGGAAACCAGGAGCGTTGATATTTGGATCAAAAGACATTCAATCGATATCGATAAGAAAGCTTTGAGCTTTATTTTAGAGGAATAGGTCAGAAAACTATACCACGGCCTGTTATCGCCGGCAAGAAGCCGGTCTGACGTCGATTCGCCACCTTGCCACCATCCTGCGAGCCAAATTTTGACAGGCCCACTCGGCCATTACCTGTATTACATGTGCATACCGTACAACATCCGATTAACCTAACGATATCTTACAGTCTATCAAGATCATAAAGCTTTCTAGGATTTTGAGCTCGTGCCTCTGACGGGTCTCGCGGTGTGAACTTTCTCCACTGCCCTCACCGTGTTGGCCGGTGAGGTCAAGAACGATGGAGGGTATGTTTTGTGACCCTCTTGTAGCGCTCGATTTTGCAAGGAATTCGAGAGCAGTCTCACTCTTAGACCCTCTTTCCTCTTGCCTCTTTTCGCGTCGACTAAATAATGAGTGCAGTTGATCTAGAATTAGACTATCAAGTGAGTAGCACTGTACACTCTCATACAGTGCCTGCGTATTCAGTAGACCCCGACTCACGGCACCTCTTAGATCCAGTCCACGATCACAGAAGAGATGGGAGACGCAACGGTCCTCACAATCGCACATGGATTACGGACGGTTGTCGGGTATGATCGTATTCTCGTATTGGATCAAGGTCGCATTGTAGAGTTTGACACGCCCCAAAGGTTACTGGAACAAGAGGATAGGTTATTTGCTCGTAGGGAGTGTAGACTGGGAAGAGTTGGGGAGGATGGTAAGACGAGGAGGACCACCGGTCATGGTTGGAAGTGTTGCGGCAATTGACCAAAGCATGACGTTGCACATTTTATAATTATGTGACATATCAGAGAGGGTAGCAGGATAATAAATAAATAGAGTAAACTCGTGCATTTAATTGCGTACTTTATGAGCGCTTTGCCCATATGCAACTCCTGGTGGTCGGTGCCTATTTAGCGTGGTATGGTTTACCAGTCTTCTCAACGACAAGGCGCGGGACTCCGGTTTCCCATCTCCTTTTGACACCACTAGGGAAGGGTTGATTTGTTTCGAAATCCCATTTGGCATAGGTATTCTCTACGATCCGACTTGTCTCAATCTGATGCCAGTCAGCCAAAGGCAACGATAGGTAGAAAGGAACACCCATACGAATGCTCTATGTGTTAGCAACACAAAAGCTTCCCTGAATTTTATAAAATTACAACAAGAATATCGGAGGTACTTGTTCACCATTGAAGCATGCTCCGAACTCACACCTCCCAGAATGGTTGGGATTTTTTCTCTCGGTATACCGTCTGTCAGATTGGTGAAACAGGGAGATAAATGAGGGTATATAACTGCTTACCTTGTGGGTAGCGAGTGAGATCAACTGAGTAGCGAGTGATAACATCCTCATTCAGAGGCATCAATGGTGGTTCGTTGAGAAGTATAAACTATAGAATTGGTATGAATCGGTATTAAAGGAAGAGATATATCATATGCTTACAAGGAAAAGTTTATCGAGTTCTAGATGCTCGAAGGTCTTGAGAATAATAGCTACTTCTCCATCTCGCTGAAATCGTCGTTCCAGTTGCATGATCTCTTTTTTGGTTGGACCCCCGCTATACTAATGCAGCGGTTGGTCATGGAAATTGGCGTATATGGATGAACCACTTACTGGGAAGCCCGGAAATTTTATCAGTAGGTCTAATGCCTCC